CTCTTTCTGAAGTTGCGGACATTTACACTCGTACAATTTTTGAAGAGTTGACATTTGCCATCCTGTATTAAAAAAAAACTTTTTAATGCAGGAGGGCAAATATCATTCATTTAAAAAAAATTGAATGGGGCAAATGTCCGCCATTTTAAAGCATACGAGGGGACAATTGTCAGTCATCGCATGGGGGGAGGGGGCGAAAGGTGATTGTGACAGTCTGGGAAGCAAATATCCAAGAATCTGCACTTTTTATATTGGAATAAGAATAGCTTCTTAAATTCTACATGTGGCTTATAGCGGAGACAAAATATGGGCATAAGAGCAGTACTCTTAAGTATGACAAAATCCAGAGTCCAATGGTGGACTGTTGTCTAAAATAAAGGCGAAGGCGACATATATATTCATACAAATTATCCCAAACGGTTGGTACAATTAAATTAATGGAAATATCTTTTAGCATGTATATGGTTAAGTAAGATTTCAAGATATTACTTGTAAGAAGAGTTGTGCTTAGATGCTGATAAAATGGACTGAGTACAATTCACAAGACAATTGTACAAGATTGCAACGAACGGTCCTAGAAAACGGACATCGGAAGTAGACAGAACAGATTTGGTCTTTGTCCGTAATCTTCACCCTGTTCGAAATCAGCCTGATCATGGTACTGTTCACTATTCAGTCTGTACTTTAACTGAAACTTTCCCTGAAAATGATGAATGGTCTTGCCCAGACTAAAAGATGGAAAAGTCCTTTCCAGATAATTAGTGTAGTAAGGGTTAATTACTTTACATCAGTGTTGTTATATTTTTCTGGTCCTTCGGGATCATTGATTCCAGAACTTAAAAGTGTTGAAAATTGAGTATCTCTCAAGCCCGTGCTAAAGGGAGCGTGGGGGATGTTGCACTTAGTCATTACTAAATCAAACCGAGTCTGCAATTTTCATGTCATTTTGTTGTGATTAATGCTTCCGATGGATTACTTTTCTTCCAGATTTAAATGTAAAACATTTAGTCTGAAAAAGAGACCTAAACCCTTAAATGTAAAATAATATTTTGCGTTACTTTAGCTGCCTAAGGTGCACTTCTACATACTATTAACTGATTAATTAAAATGCATACTGTTTAATTTGTATTCTGGGTACAAGTCTACATGTTAAACAAAAGAGTCATGATAGCCCCTTATTGCTCACTTGAGATTTTTAGTTTTAGCTAAATCCGAGTTTCATTAAAATCTGCCTACGTTATGAACGAGATGTTTAATATACGAGGGCTGTTCAAAAAGTTCGTGGACTGCGGCTCTTCTGTTCACATCTTTTAATTTGCGTATATGATTTTACAAGAGACATATATGATCCTATGTCCTTAATAAACAGTGAAAAAATCAATACAATATGTTTACAAATAAAAATTCTGTGACATTTACAAATCACAAGGGGTGCACAATCCGGCGCACGCTGATGATGAAACAAAATGACGTTCGTGACGTCGCAATATAAATGAAACATTTTACCAGCGTCATTGTTTCTGAAAGTACTCTTTTTAGTGTTCAATATCTGCGGATAATATACCAAAACCATTTTTATTTGTTTGGGTCGTCAGACCAAACAAATAATGGTAGCGAAATTTCAGAGTCTAATGTTGTTAATTGCAAATGCCGAAAGTAGTCCACTTTTTTGGAGCGGTTACTTCCCTTTTGTATGTACACTAAAGCCGAAAAATTCAGGGGAGATCACTGCGTAAAGATGGTCAAAGACAGGCGCATCAATTTTCAAGCAAAGTAATTCCCGAATGGTCAAAGATTTCTAATATTGTTTTATTGTATTTTCTGATCGAAAATAACTAAATACAAAGCGGACATTCAATCTCTGACACAGAAGTTTACTACAAACCTCACAACAAGTAGTTCTCAAAACAGCTAAAAACTAGCGATTTAAAAGAAAGAAATATTTTATTTTCTTACAAGTATCCAACAAATTACAACGCATTTAAAGTTAAACAATAGCGTTGGCTTATAGAATTGTCAATAAATGCACAATCACAAATTACGCGGATGAATATGATTTTATCAATGAAAATACTATTTTTAGCCATGTTGATTACCGAATACTACACAAACCGAGTAGTGGAATATATAGATTCTACATGCCGGACCGTTTGGGCGAGAGGATTTTTGCTAAAATATTTACTTCAATTATAAACAACAGGTTTACCCTGAACAAAATACCACGAAATTAATAAGGATTACAAACCCGAACTGCAATGGAAGTTTAAAATTTAGAATGACTTGATATTATTCAGTCACACTGTGTATAACTTCTCCGTGGTACAGTGGTAACGCGCTCGCCTCGTGAGTGAGAGGTCTCGAGTTCGAATCCCAGTCGAGGAAACTTTTTTTTTTTGGTTAAATTCTTTTTTTTAAGTATTTTTGTTAAGGAAGTAGCCATGATATACAAAGATAAAGTGTGGCTGTCGTAAAAAAAAGAACATAAATGATTTTTGATGCAACTCTAGTTATGCAGAATTACGTATGTATCAAACTCTGGTGCCTTACAAAAGGAATTATAATACATAAAAATAAACTTATACAGGAAAATGCATACAGATATACAGTACGATTTAGATTGCAAAGATCAGAAAATACCACAGAACTTGCAGCCGTTTGATTCTTTATAAATATACATGCTTATAGTAAGCTCCAGGATTATTTACATCTGTGTTAAACAACAGTTAAAGTCGTTACAAGCCCTAATTTAGAATAATATGGTTTTTCTTCAGGCCGTTCACATATAAATTCACCGTGGCTCAAGGGTTTTCGGGCTCGCTTAGGAAGCGAGAGGTCTGGAGTTCAAATCCCAGTAAATGTTACTCATTTTTTTAAATTTTTAAAGTCAAATAAACATTGGATTGAATATCAGTGTTGCAATTAGTCTAATAGCCAATTTACTACAATTAAAACGCTGGGAAGCATTGGTGGCACTAAACATATAATCTCACAACCTGCACCTTTCTTACATTCTGAGACCCAAACAAATTCAGCGCCTTCTGTGCTTTGATTCTGTTTGCGATGATGACCCGAGATATAAAGTGGTCATCTATTCGCTCCATTCTCCGTATAAAGGTCCGAGTGCCGCATACTTTCCGCTCTTTATCGGGATTTTTGAGTAATTTAGACACTAAACGAACAGTGTTATTAAGTTAATTCAATTGTTGATTGATAGTATCAATTTGAAACCGCCCTCGTCCGATCTTTAAACAATATGATTATCGATGATAAAGAAAATATATTATCAACTGACAATTATTCTATGCGGTAATCTACTGAACACCGGCTAGCATTAATTATCAAACGGACCGGGGTAAATACAGGAAATACAGAAAATAACTACAAGTATTTATTGTAAATATGCATATATCCTGATGAATGAAATAAAATTTTATTTTAATTAAATTAAATTGTTTTGTCAGAATTGAATGCATAGACCCGATGCAGAAATTAAACATGTCGGACATCTCGCAAAACTGTCATAATGCCTGAACTTCTGTAAATCTTTTGCAATTGACGTTACAAACGTCCCAACAATTTGCCGCTAAAATTATTCGTCGCCCTTTCTGTCTGTGAGCATGTACTTGCCGTATTTGAATCGCTTGCGCGACCTGAAACCAAGAGATTTGCTCGCCAACTCATTGTTCTTCGTTAATCTAATCACCTCATAAAAATATAAAGGGGTATCCTACATTTATTGGTATAAATTTCCGAAAGAGCGAATTTCTAGTTTTTAAACGGGGTTTATACTTCCCAACTTACCCGTCTGTCTACTGCTGCTCAAAACTTGTTTGTTCAGCTATTCAACGTCCAAACGACGCCAAAAGTCAGATTTATGTCATTTAAATATTAATAGATGATTACTTGTATTTAACTTCATAAAACAATCATTTAATTTGTTTCAACATTTGTTTATATTTAAACATTATATGAAAATTTCGGCGTGCGCCGATGTTGCGTTGCCATGGTTATCAAAGTGCACATAACTCGTAAAGGAAATAAAAGTTAACAATAAAAGTAAATCTTACTTTTGAAAATAAAAACACTCTTTCGATTTATATCCACTAAGGGTGTTTTTATTAACCAAGTAAAAAATGACAGCAAAAATCCACGAACTTTTTGAACATACCTCGTAAAGCTTCTTGCTTTCTATTATTCGCCCTGAAAGCCACTCTGTTCACTTGTTCAGAAGAAAACAGCAAATAATGTTAACATTTTTGTAGAGAAATATCCAAAAATCCATCGACGTATACCCACGGTTGATTTACATGTAACATAACATATAATCAGATAAATGTTAATGGTTCGTCCGTGGGTTTCCGACGATGTACGACTTTTATCAAAATATGGGAAGCGGTTTTTAAGTGTTTTTTTTATCTTTGATTTTTGTAGTTGTGTTGCTTAGCAGATCTGAACAGTTTATAATTTTTGTAGAGAACCATTCCCGTTTTCAAGTAGTTTCATCAAAATTGTCCAATCAGTTCAGATAACATCATTTAAAGTAAAATGTTAACATGGCCACGGACACAACATGTTGATCCATTAACATAACATATCTAGAGCATATTGTGCTCAGGTGAGCTAAAAATCTGTAGTGAACAACCAATTATTTGTCAAACCAATTTTTTTGTCAATTGTACAGTGAACATCTAATTATTAGTCCACTGTACAGTGAACATCTAATTATTTGTCACTTGTACAGTGAACATCACATTATTTGTCAATTGTACAGTGCACATTTAATCATTTGTACAGTAAACAACCAATTATTTGTCAATTGTAGAGAACAACCAATTATTTTGTCAATTGTACAGTGAACAACCAATCATTTGTCAATTGTACAATAACAACCAATTATTTGTCAATTGTACAGTGATCATTCAATTATTTGGACCAACAAAGCAGTATAATAACAACAGGTTTCAAGAGGGGATGTTGCGAAATAATTATACAAGACAGAGTTTATTTTTATCATTTTTATTTTTGTATCTTTTTCAATATTTATGTCAACAAAAACGGTTCAAGACAACCAGCATCTGTCCAGTATCCTCTAATGAAAGAACAGGTGCATTGACGTCATAAAAATAGCATCTTTTTTATCAAAGAATACATGATGATGGTGATGATCATGATTATTATGGGAAGAGGATTTTTTTTTGAAAATGATAAAACAAGATTTTTAAAATCTTGTTAATTAATGTTGGTGTTCCATGATGGATATTTCTGAGCATAATTATTAAAATGAGGCATTGTTTTTGTTGAAAAAACTGCCATTCTTTAACATTTCTTAAAAAATTTAGGATGAATGAACAATGACTTTTATAAAAAAAAATTTTTACAAAGTGTTAAAGAATAATCTTTTTAACATAACCAAAACATAGCCATATCAAATATGGTATATATAAAGAATGCAACAATCTTTTACACAGTCACCTTTAACATATATACAAATTGACAATCGTAGCATATATACAATGGTTCATATAAAAAATCCAACCTTAAGCCTCCAACCTCATTAACGGGTACAGAAACTAAACTTCACTGGCAGTGATTTAGCTTATCATGTTACAGACACACCCTCCTATTTCAGACACGCCTTCCTATTTCACAGTCACACCCTCCAAGTCACAGACACACCCTCTTATTTCAGACACACTCTCTTATACAACCATATTTACTAAGTTTCATATTCACATTGTACTGAAAAACAACATGTTTTTCTTCATTCAAAACAAGAATCATTCCTTAACCATCATTTTTACAATATTTACTTAAACAACATATCCAAACAATTGGCAGCAAAAAATAGCACTTCTTGCATTATATTCAAAACGTTTGGTCTCAAAATTAAAGCCATAATTTTAAGTTTTTGCAAATAAAATTTTTAATATTGCTGTTACTAACTGTAATGCACCAAATTTTGTAAACAGACTAAACTAAATGCAAAAATAGCAGTTTCTTTGACTGAAATTATCTCCTTTTTTCTAACTGATCTAAATAACAAGTTATTTCCCATTCCACTTTACTATTATCTCCCTTGGTTAGAAGGCACCAAGATTGATTTACTTTCTCATGAACATACCCACTTAAACAAACAAAAAGTTTCAAAATTTTACCTGAGAGAAACTTATAATAACAGACGACCAGAATTACAATCAAACAATCACTAAGCTCCCACAAATCACCCTTCTGTATCAACTACGCTTGGTTTATTAGTTTTAGATTTAACCCCCCAGAAAGTATCCAAATCAAATAAAAAGAAGAAAAAAATTAAAAATGCAACAATTTCAACTCATATATTGGCAGTGATCTCACTTTATTCATTCACTCACTCACTCAATCACTCATAACTGGCATGCAAATCCTTTTATTCACACTCACAAACCAACCCAACCATCAAACATTTCTTACATCATTTTATGCAAATGATCATACACTTAAACCAACCGTACATTTTTCATGTACAAAACATTCAAGCAATAGGCAAGCATGCCTTTAAGTACATATGTACAATCATCAATCACACATAACAACAATCAACAACCAATCAAAACGCCAATTTCTTCATCAGCAGGTACACGTGCGAGTCAACCTCAAAACCATGCAAGTTGTTGGCATCCCCCTGTAATCTCATCAATAAACCACCATAAGACACATAGGCCGCCCTGAAAATATACAGAAAAAAACGTACATGTTTAATGTTGTCATCTTTTTTTGCATGTGCCTTAAAACATTAACTTAAATTTCACAAAATTACTAAATGAACTATCCGTTAAAGATGACTCTGACTTAGCTGCCCAGATGTCGATAAATTTCCTGTATTGTGAAAAGAATATTATTAAGTCTACGCTACTGTACTAGAACTTTGCAAAGTTTTGTATAATGGAGTTAAATTACTCGAGGTAACTGGAAAAAAGACATGATCCCATATAAAAAGTACATGTACATGCTTATACACAAAATAAATATACATATATTGATATTTATTACATGTGGATTAACCCTTAGTCTACAGTAACTGAGTGCAATCATGGTTGCCTTTGCAAGCTGATTTGTAAAATACTAGATATCTTGTAGCCCAAGTTTCTTGCCAAAAACCAAGCTGTTTGACAGTCACCCTTTAATTTCTTTCAATCAAATCAATTCGACAAAATTCAAAAATTAAACAGAAGACTTTTTTTGGCAGACGACAATTTTTCCCAGCATGCAATAGGTTAATACATGTACAAAAAGCATAACAATGTTATATACATTAACTGTCTGGTTAAATGAGAAAGCAGGATACAAAATGAGATGATTGATCTAGGAAATTAATTATGATTTATAATGAACTGGCTAGCTAGTATATAACTATCCAAACAGGTTTCTCTTCCTTTCCTCCACTTCTTCCTGAATTCTTCTAGGTTAAACCTTCCTTAATTCTTTCCATCTCTTTCCCTTCCTTATCTCCTTATCCTTTCCTTTGTCATTTTCCTAACATCCTCTTCCTGCATTTCCTGAAAATCTTAGCATTTAACAGAATCATTCAAATAAAAAAAAAAATCAACATTTCCATGCTTTGTCAACAATCTAAATTAATATCTTTCAAATCCCATCCATGTATAAGGTCAGCAAATCCATCCATGTTTTCTCCTTTATATCATATCATGATCCAAATGTGTTCCTTTTTTTTTATTTGATTTCCTTTACCTTCCATGTAACAGATTTCTAAGTCCTTGATGTGATGCTCCATATCCAAAATTCGTCCACCATTCCAATCCTATTCCATAATCATGTTCCTCATTCATCCAGATAAGCATGTCGTAAAACCATCCATTTATAAATATGTTCCTCGTCCATCCATTTACTGTTAAACATGTTCCAAATCCATTTACCAGTGAACATGTTCCATATCCATCCATTTAAACATGTTCAAAATCTATCCTTTTAAATGTAATCCAAAATCCATTTTTGCAATCAAAATATTAACTATACTATATCCATTTAATTAAATTAAAAAAATATCTTAAATACCCATTTTACCAATATTTTTGAAGTTTCCAAAGTTCTCTACACTTGTTTCAAAGAAGAATTATAAAAAAAAAATTAAAAAATTCTCAATTAAAAAGGCATATCTACCTTTTTCTAAAATAATAATAAAATTATTAATTTAGCTACGGAAACAGTTTACTATAAAAATATTATCTTTTCATAGAAAAAGATTCAAGGATTCAGGTTGTAAAGCTGTGAAAATAAAACAAACAAGATGTATGGTCTAAACGAATGCCTACCCACTTGACTACTGGAGATAAATGCAAAACCACTATTCTTTCTAAACGAAAGATATAGTCATGCATTTACTTGTTCGCCAAAGTCCCCTTTAACTTGATTTATTCTGCGATGCTGGTCAGCATTTTTTTTTCGCTTGGCTTTTTGATGTTCTTTTTCTCAAATCTTCCCTTAAACTGACGAAAGGAAGCGTTTTCCTTCCTCTATCTACGTGTTTAATTAATTAATATATGGTCTACATTATTATTCATGTAGTAAGTATAAAACTGAGGTAGAAAACTTTTCTCTACAGCAGCAGTAAGGAATACAAACACATGCAAAACAATATATGCCAAGGTCATGTGACCTGACGCTACTACTCTAAGTAAAGCCAAAAATGACAAAAGTATTAAAAAACGTTGGACAAATACAAAACACAGGACTGTAAAATGCATTCATTTATTCCATACATCCATTCTTTACAGCTTCAACATTTGGCTGAATGAGAGGCAGAGAAAAACTTAAAAGGCAAGATAAAACTTAACTTTAAAGCAAGAATGAATCATGAAAGACAGAAGAAATTTGTTCGGAAACTTGACAGAGAATAAAAAATCTAAAAATAGTAAAGAACTTTGCAAACTTAAACCAAAATAATGTTACACATGAATTATTTTTTTCTAGGAAACAGTATAGTATTTCATATATCTGATCGTATTTTATGTAGATTCAAGGATGAAAAGTAGTAAATTGCATCAATGTTTGGTAAATCTACTCAGAAGTCTTCTATTTTGTTTCTGGAAGTTTTTTGTTTTTAATCGCAGAATTGCCGAAATAATGACACGTTTTTCTGGAGTGCAGAAAGTGGTTGTACAGCTCCCTTGACAACCAGCTAACCACACTGCCATAAAACATCGCCATAGAAACCAATCACCTTCACAGGGGGGGGTCTAAAGCTCTCTTTTTTTTTGTTTGTTTCTTTATTGTTTTTTTTTGTTTCTTTTTTTTTCAAATTTTCATTCATTATAGATGAGCGTGCAAGAGCTGCGAACGAGAAGCAGGTAATCTGTGTAGGTAGATGGATGGAAGGAATGAATGACATAATGAATGCATGATACAGGTGACATATACAAATTATTCAAAGATCGTAACATCTAAAAACTCAACAATATAACAAATATATATAATTATGATATATCTTTCTGTTTCAGCCTACCAGAATTACTAGCCTTTTTCTGATTGGCTGATATACATTGTAAGTTGACATTTATCAAGCTCAAGTCCTGACTCAGAAAAGATTAGTCTCCCTTTAACTACCAAAATGTTGAAAAAATTCTTCATAAAATTTTTGAATTTTGAAATATACCTAACATTTAACAGTTAAAGCACCATTCACTGGTAGTATGGAATATTGTTTGCCAGGATCAAGTGCAATGATGTCAATGTCAACTTACAAAATGCTTACATTTATTATTTACATATCAAAAGATAGCATAATATGAGAGGTTGCTATTTTATTACCGTAGCTTAATATGATGCCGAAGGGAAACCCCCTTTGTAATAAAGGTATTTAACTTAATTTCTTGGTGTTCATATTCAAAACCTTTCAGTAAAAGGTAATGAAATCTAACCCCATGATACACACCCAGCACTTTGATACTTTCAGAAACATCTGTTTATATGGTGATTTTTTACACAATTCCTGTAAACTCTTACTTAAATCTGTATATAAGGAGACAAGGAGCAAATTCTTTTGGCCTTAAAATGTAGATTAGTGAAATTGTGCTGGTATAAAATAGCAACCTCTCATATGTCAAAAAATATGCTAAAACCTGTAATCTAAAACCACTGAATACATATCATATTAAAAATGCTATTTTTATACAATACAATTACGAGTAATGCCTTTCAATGTAAAATGAGGACTAAATCAAACACTGTCTCAATTAGGTGTGTCTCTTAAAAAGAACAAAATAAAAAATCAACTTTTATCTACATCTACAGAATAGTCAGTAATATCATATGGCTATTGAAACATCAAAACAAGAATACAACTAGCAAAAATATCAAAAGAGCTAAAACAAAGACCACACAAATATGATTAACTAAACAAAAAGAAACTAGCGTTTGTTTAGATATAGTACAATGTTACAATACATATGAGTATAATGTTTTGTTTACCATTGTTTAAGAAAGCTGGCACACAGTCAGTGTCTTGGTTACATACACACACATAAGAAGATTAATCAAAATGATGCTTCTTGCCAAAATCTTTATCGTTCTCCTATTTATAAAAGAAATTTTCTCTTTTTCCCAAGGAAAGTAAGACACTGACGGTGCTAGCTCTATAAAACGAAATGATATGCACAATAAAAAAAAAAAAAAGTTAATATGTTAAAATAGCAAAATTAAAAATAGCAACCACATGCAGAAAGATTTAAAGCACACTACAAGACTGTTACAATGTCCCATCATGCACTGGGAATTTTCACAATGAGGCTGTGGAATATGATCCCAACATGCAATGGGATTTTCACAATGAGGCTCTTTGTTATCCCATCATGCAGTAGGAATGTCACAATGAGGCTGTGGGTTAGAGGTCAAGGTTAAAGCTACAGCACTACAAGGATGTTAGAACTCTGTAGAATCACATACCAGATTATGCATTTACAACTAAGCATGCAATGCAAATGCATCTCTGGCACGGATCCCAGCAGAGGAGTAAGCTATAGGACACACAACATGTATTAGCTCTTGTTGAAGTCACTTCAGATTTGTAAGTTCCTTCTAGAAATCATCTCTGCTATAAGCTGAAACTATGGATCTTTGCCTACTCCTAATCTTCACAATGCAAGATCAAATAGTATTATTTATTGCATACTTTCACATGATTATTTTCCTATCAAACTAAATAAAACATTCACAGCTATATACCTAGTATCCCAAAACACGCAAATTTTCAGAAGTCATAAGTGTTTTTAAAAAAAATCTTTGTTTTTACCTGCACAATCTTCGGTAAGTATTTCAAGTGTCAAAAGAATGACCCTTTGCACACATTTTGATCAAAACATTTTATGACATGCAATTCAAAAACTTAAAATATATCTTTTCCTTTTGTTCTTAAAAAAAAAAAACAATACAAAAACAAAATACACTTTAACTTCCTCTACCAAACAAAGGCTTCATTTAGTTTCGATAAAATATCTGATATAATTTACAAAATTTTGTCAAAGGACTGATTAAAGTCATCTTTGCTGTAACCTTCAAACAGATAAATATGATCAAATAATATGAACTTGGTGTATTGTTTTACAATTTAATGAAATAAGCAATTATTTAAAAGTTTATATCTGACAGCATGTATTTTTTAGATTGCGTTTTGAATTTTTTTTTTTTTTTGAAGTTTAAAAAAAAACTATTA